CCTCGCTGCCCCCTCCATGACCACAGTTTGGTGGTAACCTGACATGGATGGGGCCATGCCTGAATGCAGGTACTGTAAATGGTCCAGAATGCACCACTTCACAGTTTAACAATGGACACAGGTCATCTGTCATATTCCAGTTTCCATTTCCCAGACTGTAAATCTCACCTAATAGTCAAGAGCAGGCCAACAACACCGTGCCCACAGAATGGCTCTGACTGAAGTCACTCAACCTGTGCCGAGGGGTGAGCGTGTCTATCGGAGGCTGGGCCCCCCCACAAACCAAAAGTCCAGAGAGTCAGAGGAGAAACGGCCAGTACGGTAGCCATATTTACCTTAAGTCTAGGTAACCTAACGGACACCAGCGGCAATGAATGAGGTCTTTCTGGAAAGGCACAGAGTGGGCAATTCACAAACCAATGCCTTGTATAAACACAGGGCATATTTTATAAAGCCCATCTGGAAACCATAGCAGAGTCAGATGCCAGTTCAAACACACTGAAAACAGAATATAGCTCGCTTTAAAGTGCATTCTTTGCCGTTTGGACATTTAAGGTTTACAGGTCTGAATCTAACCTCACAGGCCTGCACCTGTCCGCCTGCTGACTCACCCATGAAAGATTCTTCAGATACTGGGGATTCTGGGACAAGGGCTCCTCTATCTTTCGGAAAGCTCATAGAAAAGTTGGCGTTTCATCGCTGAAGATCATTTCTAAGTCTCCCTTTTCCATGTGTTGGCAGACACTACGGTTTTCCAGGGACGGATAATGAACAGTGATATTTTCTAAAGTGAATCCAGGTGGATTTCAAGCCCAATAGAAGAAACGTTTATCTTTACTGTCCTTTTTTTTGTGAGATTTAAGCTTAAGTGTAGCTTTAAAAGATTGTATGTTTAATTTTCAGACATGCAGTATTGTGAGAAGGTCAGGGACCGATGGTGTCTTGGAGGCACCGTGCCTGCTGTGCTGAGGTCACAGTGAGGCTTCTGCACCACTTGAGCGTCTCCTTGAAAAATGTTTGCCTCCAGTTACTTGCAGAGTAAAAGACCCACGTTATAACCTGGGGGTTGCGTCCTTAAGATGGTAACCTGAGAGCTGCAGCTACTTCTTGCGTGATTTTCCCAGCTTTCAGACAAAAAAAAAAAAATCCCCATTTTCTTCTCAGAATTATAAATAAATCCAGATTTTTTTTTTCTTTTAATACCATCTCAGAATTATAAATAAATCCAGATTTGTTTTTTTTTCTTTTAATACCGAAACGTGTGCTTTTCTAGGTAAGAATTCTAAAGTCTGTTTTCTTCTTCTTTGCTTGCTTCGTCTCTGGCTACGCTGACTGTCACAGCCTAATGGTAATCTTTTGAGCAGATGGAAAGCTTGAAATTCTATGGGACGTTATTTCTGGCTCCGAATCGACTTGCATTCTTTCACTCTCACATTTCTCCCTTGAATCCTAAAATCGATAGTCCAAAATGATCTTGTTCATCGTTGGACAACAGAACGTTTTGTGTTATGACAGACTCATGTGGTCCTCAGTGACCTCTGGGTTATTTGTCCACCTTTCCACCTGAACAAGCCAGGATTTGCCTGGATGATCTCTGACAGCAGAGGAATGTGAATGCATTTCACTCAAAGGCCTTTGAGGCTGACCACCTTTCACTTTTTTTTTTTAACCCAATCCCTCCTCCTCTCACCCTCCGTATTAAGTGAATATGCAGTTAAATGGAGAGCCTGTCAAGGAGCCTGAAGCGTACACAGGTGTCCAGCAGTTTACTGAGGAAGGGAAGGGGGGAGTGCGGAGGAGTGGGCGTCGAGAGACTGGATCATATGAATCCTGGAAAATGACCTTCAAATATTCAATTTGCAGCGGTAACTTTTAGAAATCCAGGGATACATAAACATTACTTTATCCAAGTCTTTTTCTTTTTCTTTTTGCGTTATCTCTCATACTTTACCATCCCTTTTAAATCACTTTTAACGTACGTTCATAACTCCAGAATAAATTAAATGACTTTACCCACGTTTTGTTCATAATATTACAGCAAACACGGTAGAAAAAAAACCCCGAATTTCTCTTCTTGGAACTGTTCGTTTTAAGTGCATTTCGGTGCCTAAACAAATGTCGCGAAAAAGCTACAAAACAAAAGCAAATATAGCTACTAACTCGACCACTAACTCGTTATAACTTCGTCACCAGTGTGTCTAACGTAATGTCTAACGTCAAACATTTACTGTCACCATGCACCTGACCGAAAGGGTTTCAACTTCAAAATAATAAAAAATAAATGAATAAAAAATAAATGAGCTGTCACTTACGGTCGTCCTGACATCTCACAACGGCTAATAGACAGACGTGGCTTGCTATAAGCAGCAGTACAGTCCTGGAATCCATTAAGCTGAACATGTCTAAATATTAGACATGCAGGGCCCAGAGACAGAGGTGCGAAGGTGGCGCTGTCTTCTCTCAGTGTTTTCAAGTGTGTGTGTGTCCAGTTACCGAGCCAGAACCATTCGACTATCACCCTCTCCAAACACCGACGCGGGGGAATCCAGCGGCAGGACCCGGACCTGCAGCAGAGACTCAGCGCTGGACCACTTAAAGCCAGACGCTGTAGTTCTAGTCCCCGTTGCCTTCAATGAATCTTCGTATATTCCCAAATATCAGTCCGGCCCCTTACCCCCTGTCAGGCTGAAACCTGAGCCCCGATTCCCTCCCATTCTGTCAGCCAGCTCCCATTATCCCAGACCTCGACCACTCCTTTCTCCACGTGCTGCCACTGGACCCAAAACTTGAGTCTGTCCTCTGTGACTTAGTCTGGTTCCCACCTCCGTGTTGTTAGAAAGCGTACCAGTGTCAGGACCGGTTCGTTACGCCAGTGTCCTGCGGCTCTAGAGACTATCCAGCATGTGTCTGTGTGTTTTTGTGCATGTTGAGGATTTTTGGCTCATCCATCAATTTAGGGTCTGTTTACAATTTTTTGGACCCTTGTGAGTTTCTCAACTACATCATTTCTTATGGCACCTTAGCTCAGGGGCCAAACCTCTGTCAGTGGTGCAGAAGACCTGGGTTCGAATCTCGGTAAAGCAACTGTGCACTTAAAAAAGTCAAATATTGTGGTGAGCAAAGCTGCCTTAGAAACAGTTGACGCCAGTTCAATTTCTGGCTGTTGCTAAGGCATGATGGTTCCATAGTGTAGCAGTTAGCTTAATCTGCGTTGCATGTAAGGACAGTCTTGGGTTCGATTCCCAGAGGAAACCACATACTCGGCACCTCCAAGGACTTCCGTTAACAAAAGAATTTCTCAAGTGTGGGATCGATGAAGAGGAAATTATTATTTATAATTTATTTTTTTTGAAACCCCAAGTGTTTATTTAGTGACTAATTATCCTTATCAATTTATTGATTAGTGTATATATATATATATACATACGCATATACAAATTATACTCTATTTTAACAATCCTTTAAGGGAGCAGTGTATATTATACATATATATATATATATATATCTTTTAACACTCTTTTGAGAGAGGTGTGTATATTATATATATATATATATATATATATATATATAGGCAGAATATAGATGTTTAATTCCAAATCCAACTTTTAAAAAACCCAAACCCATGTGAACGTCATTATGTAATTAGAAGGTTTTTATTTTTTAATAACTTCATTAGTCATGTTGAAACACTGCACGTCAGTGTGGGGTAAATGCGTAATGAAGCCCTGCCATTTAATATTGTCCTAAGGCAGTATTTCTATTCCACCGCAGTACATGTTCATACCATCACCTAACATTTCTGTCCAGAAATAAACTCATTACTCCATTACCATAATCCAGATATTGGTATTTCATTGCGTTTCACAATGCGTGCTAACATTTTGAATCCGCCTGCGTACAAGACAAATGTTTAATCTGAGTCAATCCGTGAATTTATGGATTTGTTCAGTTACAAATAAACAACTTTCACTGTTTTAAAATAACAGTAGCTGTAGTTGTAATAATTACAATATGACTGGCCAAAAAGCCTGCGTCTCACGCCTGGGCCTCATGTGACACAGGTGACACGAGGCCATAAATCACAGCAAATCACTGACTATCTGCTTCCACTCTACCACTGCACCTATATATAAATGGCATGAAGCAGGTTGGCTGCAGAACTTCTGCAGGGGGCTTACCCCTCTGCAGGTTGTGACCTCTGGGCTTTGACCTATGACCCATGCACACTTTATTGGAAACAGGAGCAGCTGGTGTGCTCTGAGTTTTGAGATTCTTCATTCACACAGTCCAGGTCGAAGGCAAGTCGAGTGGACCGTACGGCTGATCTCAGATCAGTGATGTGAGCTGCTTTACAGACCTGGAAATATGAAAACCGGCACGTAGAGAAACATAATATTGAAACAGTGTAAAAAAAAAAAAAAAAACTCTACTAGTAGAAGAGTAGTATTTAAATGGTAGCCCAGTACATGTACTGGTATTGTAGACGTGCATGTTTGTGATGCTGCATTTTCCATGTATTTCTTTGGGGCAACATCTGACACAAAACCTCCAACAACCTGTAATTTGCCTAGGTTGAATTGAACCATAAAGTTTCGTTGGGCTATGAATAGCAAAATTCCAAGTGAATGATTGACATTTTCCTTTTGTGATTATGTAGGTCGACCATGAAACCCAGTGCATCCCAGGGATCAGAGGCTCCGAATCCCCAAAACTACCAATTATCTATTTATAGGCCGAGACCTAAAATCAGCTGTAGCGTCTTATTTTCTGATTGCTGGTTGTAACTGCTGGGTTTGAGTCAATGTTTTGTGGACTGAAAATTTGTCAGCAGTTTCGAGACCAATAACACAGGGCTCCACGCTCCGAGTACACATGCTGCTGCTGTCTTTGTGTGCGTGATCTCTTCTAAGCTACCCACAGATATCCTCTGAAAACAGCTCTTTGATGCTGAATCCTGAGGAAACGGCGTCCCCGTGCCCAGATGAAGCCCTGATACTTCCTGATTCGCCGCCTGTGTGTTCACCAGACGACTGGCGGTGAGACCAGACAGGACTTTGCTTTGTTTCTGTGCTGCAAAACCTCAACTCTGGCTGGAAAAGACATGGGCTTCAGTGTCGGGTGACTGGACTTTAATGACTTCTTCAGAGCAACTACTTGGTGTTGACTTGACAGACATGTCTCCTCTCGGAGGTTAAAGGTCTGTAAGTCCTTAATCATGCTGGGGAAAAGAAAAAAAAAAGAAATAAACACCAGCCCCAGAGCCTTGAGTCACAGAACAAAGAGTTATTTTCTAGGATTTTGCAACATGGAATATTGTTGATTTAAATGATGGGAAAAATATCTTAAGCTATTAATTATTCACAAATAGTGTCTGTTTTTCTCTACTTTGTAACAGATCTGTCAATCAAACATGGCGGACTCCATTGATGAACCAACGATGGGCTCATTATGGGGAATGAAAACTACCTGTTGCTTTAAGGCAGTGTTTCTCAAATAGTGGGGCGGGCCCCCCCTTGGGGCGCACAGTGGAATACGGCTCGCTGGACATAAGTGTACCACTGCTGTAATGTTTGAATGATAACAAGCCTCCAGTCACTAGGTGGCAGCAACTCATACAGTGGTTTGTACAGATGAAAATATACATGTTATCAGGTTCTCGATAGTATTTCAATTCGTGGGGGTGTGGGTCGGAGGTGGAAACATTTCTGTCCCCAAGAATATTTTCTTTATTTATTTTATAAATGTATTTTATAATGATAAATAAATAAATAAATTATAAATTATAAATTTTATAAAATTTATATATTTTTTATATATATTATATATTTATATATTTATATAAAATTTATAAAATTTATAAAATTTATAAAATTTATAAAATTTATAAAATTTATAAAATTTATAAAATTTATAAAATTTATAAATTATAAATGATAAATAAAATAAATACATTTATTTTATTGCATGACAGAAAATAATTGATAACCACTGCTTGGTGGTCAGTGTCCACTTAAAGAAACAACAGTAAAATTATTTATGTTGCAATTTGTCTCAGTCTTTATGAATGTGGCGTCTAACTTTGCATGCTAATGTGTGCTAGTAATTGATATTCAACATGCAAACTCCTAACTGACGGAGCAGGAAACGAACCTGCAAAAACCAGTGATACTTTTGCGGGTAAGAGCGCCAACCGTCTCTGCCGGGTTTTAGATTTTATAATTGTAAATTTGAATCCGTGAATATGTTTCTGCCAAGTAAACAACAGGTGCACAGGAAGTTCAGTCGTCTCATCCTTGTTCTTGATTCACGCCGAACACCCGTGCTTAGGAGAGGCCGAAAATTATAGGAAGGGTTTGAATATAGGTCTGTAGCTGTTCAGGAATGAAGAGTGTCTGCTAGGATAATCAGGGAGTATGGGAAAAAAGAGGAGGGGGTAGAGAGAGAGAGAGAGAGAGAGAGAGAGTCAGAGCGATACCAGAAAAATAGAAGTGGAGGGAGCGAGAGAAGAGAGACGTGAGGTGGGTGGGAAAAATGGAATGCAGAAGGGAGGGAGAGGACGGATGAAAGTTGAAGAGGAAGGTGGGGTTGGGAGAGTGGAAAGGTGGGAAAGGAGACGGATCGTGAGGAGGGACGGAGAGAGGGAGAACCGTACTCACAACTGGGAGATTTGGTCTGGCCATAGCATAGTCTAGGGGTGTCAAACATATGGCCCGTGGGCTGATATTGGCTCGCTAGCGGGTTTCAACTGGCCCGCTTAACTTTGAAAGTTAAAAAAATGCATTTTTCCTTTAAATAATATTTCATTAAATATGATTTTTTTTTAATGTACGTGTACTTCTTTGCATCAAAACAAAGGGAAAAAAAAAACATGGACTAGGAGCCAGGATTGGACCAAATGCCTGGTTGTTGTAGTCAAGTAGCTCAGAAGAAGGAAACCAGACCAGCTTAAGTTTCTGAAAGTTAAAAAAAAAACGAAAAAAAAAACTAAGCCTGTCATCATCATATACTTTATACTGAAGGTGGTAAACATTCTGCATGTTTGGTTGTGAACCGCTGCTGCTTCTTGTGGCCAATCTTTGGGAGCAGCGACAGTGAAGTCGAACACCAAATCTGTGACGCTGACGACAGAAGAACTCCCCCCGTAAATCTCCTTTATGCTTTGCATAGCAGCGTGTACGGCATCATAATTATGTAAAAGCAGAACCATATGGGAAATTCCTGACACTTTGTCATTTCGATCCGCTGGCTTTATTCTAATGACTGAAAATGACACGTAATATCTGTCTATATTTCCCGAGTATTTACAGTGGAAAGATGTACAGCTTGACCCAAATGGGGAACCACGGCCTTGACAACAAAGGATTATTTAACATGAGAAGTCATGGTGTGACAGAATATAGTTTAAAAAGAATTGTTAATAAGTGACATTTTATTATGTTTAAATCAACAAGAAAACCATCATTAGAGAGTCAAGGAGTTCAGTCTGGGATATTTGATGATTTAAGAATAAAACATAAAGGCTGGGAAAGAACAGTGGAATGTTATTCCAGCACCGACTGGATTATTAAATCTCCATAAGACATAAAGTTTGTTTTCGCTAATGAAATTTTGTTTTTCGTCCCATAAGCAATGGAGTATTTATTTAAGCGTCTCCAGCTAATGCTGTTGATTACGTGCGCTGCTCACGCAAAAGAACAAGTGCAGAGGAATAGTCCACATTTTTCCAGATTCACGTATCGCAGGTCCTTTCAAAGAATCACCAAAAAACATCACTCTGGGATAGGGAACGTGGGCGTGTTGTTACAGTTTGCTCTCAGTAAGGGAATTTTTTTTTTTGCATTTTCATGACAAGTTTCTATGTTTACATATTCATTCGAGTGCATTACTGTCTCTTTGTGTGTCTTTTTTTTTTTTTTTTGCCATGACTCAAAGCCAGAGACACCCCACTGTCTGGAGTGGACCAGGTCTGTCAATAATACAAACCAATTCTGTTTGCAGAAGTCAATGAGGGTCTCGCACAAAGACCCGTCTATTTGAAGTGGCACCATTTGGCACCGGCGTGTTACCTCTGAGTGAAAGATGAGACAGAGCTAAACAGAGTTAAAAAAACCCAAAAAAACAAACACATGATGCAATGCTGCAGATGGAGTGAGAACTATTTCTCTTTCTTTTGTTTTTCTAAATGATAGATTTAAAAAAAAAAAAAAATGGACCAAATTATTAGAACAGA